CAGTTGGTAACTGCCTTCAGGCATTCTGCACAAGCATTAACTATGTCCCCTTTCAGACTCATCCGAGAGTCTCCAAAGTGGGCAAAAAGATGCATTCTCTACAGTACTGCACTTAGAGCTGTTTGTAACGTATGCGCCTTTTTTCATGCGTTACATGAAAAAACACCTAAAGAACAGACCGTGTGTGTTACTCGTAGTCTGTATCACCGTGGGCTGCTGCTGCTTCATCTCACCTGGCTAAAAATCCAAACCCCTTTTCTTCCACCCTGTTACTGGTACAGGTAAAAGTGACCTGGAGGTAACACAGCCTCTTTAAAACGTACTTACACACATGATGGAGGAGAGCTGTCCCGTCCAAGAACAGGCGGCTTCGTGTTGCATGTTCCCATAGAACAGGGAATTATGGAAACATAAGGATGCTACGAACAGTAACCTTTAACATGGCCTTTGGTAACGTGAATTTTTACGAAACATACACAAGTATTTTATCCAGACAGCAAGCAGCTGCCACAAAGCATTGCTTTTTTCTCTGAACAAGTACAGACCGTAGAATGATTTTGGGAACATAAAAATTGTGGTTAATGGCAAGAAAGGTTGGGCTGAAATGCAAGTGCTGCATTGCTTCTGGCAATAGAGCATCTTCAGTTAATTCTGTGAAACGTTATCACAAATTCAGGTGGTTCTTCTCCAAAGCAACCTGGTGCTATTTGTTTTCAACTAACAATAAGCAACTGCCCAGTTACAATCTTACAGTACCGTTAAAATAGGCAAAAATGAGATTTTTCTCTGAGGTGGGGGGGAAGGAGGGATGAAACTGAAGAAATCACTCTTGTATTTAAGCAATTTGTTCTGGAAGAAATGAAAAAGCTTGTCTCAAACTATCTATCATCTCCTCTCTCTAACACAGAAGTCAGCAAGCGACTACAACAACTTTGACAGAGAATTTCTGAGTGAGAAGCCAAAATTGTCCTACAGTGACAAAAATCTGATCGAGTCCATGGATCAATCTGCATTTGATGGATTTTCTTTTATCAACCCTAAATTTGAACAGATCTTAGACAAATAGTCTCTAAACGTACCTGGACTTTAAAGCAGGATTAAATGCTACAAACCTGAAATGCCCAAGTGTTGCACGTTCCGACGATGTTGCCGATACTTCAGAATAATACACGGTAGTGTGATTAATTACGTCCAACTGCTGCTTCCTTGGCAGTGTTCTTTTATGCATGGTTGGGTTTAAGGTATGTGAATCATTGCATTATTTTCTCTTTTGGGGAAAATGTAAATTCTGTTTGGTACTTGAATGTAGTTATGTGTTTTTTATATATATATATATATATGCTGTATATTTTGCTCAAGAGAAGCCACTGGGGAACAGATGATGTCTTCTTAAAAAGCGTTTGAGCTCGTGGTTCTTTTATTTGTCTTCAATTAAAAGAAAGTTACATTACACTTTCATTTGTGGCTTTATGATTTTTTTTTGTAGGCTATACAATTGAACTCCAGTTGCCTTTAAAAAACAATCTGTAAGCCCTGATCACTTACAAAAATACCACAAGCCAGAGCCCAGCTTCACCAACCACGCTCTGCATATATTCCGAGCCAGCGTAAGCTTAAGACAGTGTGGCCCCAGCCACAGTGCACTGCCCAGGAACACAAGTATCCACTGTTAAAATTAAGAAACAGTTTTATTAACTCAAGCACTGTGGTCCTAGCAGCTTACCAGGAGAAAATCATCAGGGAACGACTGCACAGAGCCTTAGTACCACTTGCCCCGTCTGCCAGAGAGGAAGCATCTTTCTTCCAGTTTTATTTGCTTGTTTTTAATACAGCAGCTGTGGCTCCTACTTACTGTAAAAAGGGCACAAGACTAGATCCTGCTTCTTTCCAATGATCACTTCTGAATTTTTATTACAACTATTAGTGAGAAAGAAAACTAACACTCCGCTCATAAAATACAGAATGAAGCAAGGTCCCTTGTTTCTCAAAAGCTTTATCATACAACTACTGCAAATTATTTCTCAACCACTGAGCAGGCAGGAAAAAAAAAAAATTTCCTGGTGAGTATCAGTTTGTCCAGCACTGACACAATGCTACAGAGCTCCTGGGAGCACCCAGTAGTTTGTGGGTAGTGCTGAAAGCGCCGGAGAAAGTTATCACACACACCCCCCCAAGAAGACTCAAGAACATACAGTGCCGCCTTTGTTTTCCTTCTGAAGAACAGCTCTAGCTTATCCTTATAATTCAAGTAATGCCAGTAAGACTCAGATGTCATCTAAGCATACAGCAGATTGAGGCTGGAACAGTCAGAACCAGCTGGTACTTCCAAACAGACCGGGTTTGCCTAGTTTACGACCGCACGCACGCACACCAGCCCCGGTCCGAGGGCGAAGCCCCACCACACTGCAGGTCCCTGCCGGGCGGAGCGGCAAACTCGGGTTTTTTCCCCTCTTCCAGTACCCTGCCAAGTCACTTCTGCCGTTTGTCACCAGAAAGTGATTCTGCTTTCAGTGCTGGATGCTTGTACTCGAGCAGAGATGCTTTTCGACAGAAGAAGTTACAAAGGTGGCTGCATCGGGTGTTTGGACTGCAAGAAGCTGTAACGAGTAATAATACATCATCATCATAGAGTAAATAAGTAGGAATTGTTGCCTGAGGGAACATTTGCTCACTGCACTTATTTGCATTTCTCTGGAGTAAGAGGGTGCCAAGCCTACTCAGGAAGGACCTCGGTCTTCACACAGCAACTCTTCAGCTGGTACCTGACCAACTTACCCAGAGCATCTCCTGCTGCCACAAGCGCACCTTCTAACAGCCCGACTACACCCGGACAGAGGTGCCTTTCCTCCGCAGAGCAGTTACCATATCCCTCCTCGGCAGTGGCACTGTACTGCTTAGCCACAGGCCTCGTCCTAACTGCTCCGCCTGAACAGAGAATGTAGGCTCGTTACGGCAACAGAAATGAAAGCTCTGCAGGTCACACAGCTTCGGGGACCTCCTCCGAGCCCCAGGGCCGCCTGGCCAACAGTCGGCAGATGGACTCGCTCCAGCATCGCAGTCTGTGCCATCCTCGCGCTACAGCGAGATGGAGGTACTGAAGAATTTTGTTCGGAAAGCAGCCTAAAGGCTCTAAATAAAAAATATATTAAAAAAAAAATTACCTCCCACACAAACATAAATACACAGCAGAGTTAAAAAATGAAGAAAACACTGCTCCACCTGGTAGAGAAGATACAAGTGGGTACGACCCAAGAGCTTACAGTAATCAACAAGACACCAATATTTGAGTGCATAATGCTAAACCACAAAGTAGTAAACTATTTTGTCCTTATCCTTCACAATGACAAGCACCCTGCAAATTTAGTGCCATCTACCTAAAGCTATACAGCCCAATGCACACCAGAAGGCAGCATTTTGCTGTTGGGTTTCAGCTTTCTCAAAAAAGCAGCAGCATTTGGAAGACAATGTTAAGAACAGTGTAGCTTTTAGAGTGAATCAGACCTTAAAACAGCAACAAGCAGGTAAAATTAATAAAATCTTACCTTTCTCCTCCATCGCGTGCAAATCTCGACTTGTATTTACTTAATTCTTCCATCATCTTCCTCAGTTTTCCTGTTTGTTACTTAAATTATAATTACTTGTCAGAGTAAAACAACCAAATGGAGTGAATTAACTTAATTCTTATGTATAAGGTCTCTTAAGTAAGCTCTAACTCCTACGCTGCCGAAAGCTGCGGCAACCTGCTGACCTGCAGGAACACTCACCTGGCACTTCAGCCGCTGTAAAGGGACACGGAAAGAAACACACATCGGCAGCACACGTTGTAGCATTTGATCTTTATTACTTGGATCAAAGGTCAAATGATTACATCTGTCTGAAAGATTACGACGAAGGCCAATGATGTAAGAAAAGACAGTTTAATCCCATTTGAGAGACCGCATCTGAGCTAGCAAGTGCATTAACAGTCAGAAGGCAGTAAAACAAACATGGGTACAAATGTACAAGATCAGGACGAAGGTTTTCAACTCCCCTGTCAGTGACGTTCCGTCAGGGGTGGGGACACATGCGCAGCTTTTAGACAGTGACAATTACCTGCAATTCCTGACAGTGCCTTTCCAGAATGGTGGTTACGCCCCGGGGAAAACCCATCACTCCCTTCTGATCTACATTCATTGTCTACACTTGCTCTTGCCAGCTAGAAAGGGTCGGATGCAGTCAGTGATTTTAGTACCTTCCACAAGTAGAACAGACAACTTCATCTTTTTTTTTTTCCTCCTCTTCAAGTATCAGCGTAACAGTTTATTTACACTTGCATACAATTCTTTTTACGGAACATCCACTTAGTGAAACACTCATCACAGTATATTCAAAAGCAGGCTATGAAAATACCTACTATACATAAAACATTTAGCCTCAAGGAATTTTACAGCACCTCTGAAAGTTGAGAAAGGTAGAAACAAAATAAGGGAGAGAGGGGAGACACCTCAAGCCATGCCTGCCAGTGAAGAGAAGCAGCCCTTGGGCCCAGCTCTCACTAGAGGAAACCTTTCCTTCCACCACATTTCTTCAACAAGCTCAAGAGGAACAGCCATCTGCCGGTGAAACCCCGCTTTTCTCATACAGTCTCCTGGGATTTGCCCTCTGTAACAGCAGATAAACTCTGACTTTCTTAATTTAAAACCTGTTTTAACAACTCCTGGGCATGGCTGGATGATGGAGGTCCGGAGGAGCGAGAGCTGCCCCACGCTGAGCACACGTCAAATCAGGAGGGGAAATTACTTCTACATTTGTGCCATGAAGGTGGCCTTGTTAACTACACATCGATAAATTAACTCCTCTGAGCAGCGTTGTGTGGTCTCTCTCCTCACGCAATAACTACGGACACAGCTGAATTAATAAAGATCTGAAATGGGCGTCACCGAACACGTGGATCACACACACAAAGCTTTAGACAGCAGCGCTTGAAGCAAGTGTTTCTGGTCGTTCCGTACCCTATGCATTCCTCATCTGAAATGGAACCCAGCGATACGGTATGGCTTACTTCCAGAGCTGAATATATTGCTGAAATTAGCTTATTAAAACAAATCACAACAGCAGCACATTATTTTATAAACCCTGCACAAACAAAAGACAACTTAATCCTTGCCTGCAAAACTACCTTACGAGAGCCTGGTATTTCACACAGGAGTTGAGAATTAAAACAGAACAAAACAAAAACAAAACCACACACACACAAAACACCCCAACACAAAAACCATAACACCACACATGGTAAAAGCTCAATTAACTGAAGAGAAGTCCTTAGAAAAAACAGTCCAACTACCAGAGAATAGTCCTCCTCATGTCAGAACTAGAAGCCAGCAGCAGTGCTGGCAGCTCCCTTCAGTTGTCTGGTAACACACGTACAAAATACACATTGATTTAGTACAGTTAAAAGGTCATGGCCTCAACAAACAGAAAATTCCATTTTTAGCACTGGAGTTTCACAAGGTATAAAAGAGCAGCAAAGAATTGGGATGGTGGAAGATGCTTAAAAACAACACAAAAACACTCAAGGCAGGTGTGCCACGTTAAAAATAATTTCAGAATTTACCTGTTGTTTTTCTTGCATGAGCTGTTAGAAGGGTTAAACTCCACCTAACCTTTCTGTACTGTTTCCTGATATACGTATTAAAAGTGGCTATAAAAGAGAAACATACACTTTTATGTTGCAATTCATTCCAAAAATTGCCTAAAAACAAAAAAATAAAAATCACAGCATTAACAAGACAAGCAGCTTCTGCAGCCCTTGACAGTCTGAATCCTTTTCCCCTCCCTTCCAGTCTCAGAAAAGCTGCTCATCCTGTCCTGCAACTGCAGCAGAAAGGACAACACTCTCTCTCTCTCAATTCATTACCCAGGCTGCTAGCTGTACTCACACTCACGTCCCCCACTTAATACTGTGTCTTCCACTGCCTTCCAAAATACAGCTGGCCCCTGGAAAACGTTAAGATCTTGCTAAAACAGCAGAATCTTTCAGGTAGCGAATCTAGCTTAAATGGTTTTGTTTTCCAAGGGGAAAGTCTCGCCATTTCAGAAAAATTTAAGTTGTGGCTGGCAAACCAAAGCTCCATTTAAAACACAGAGAAGCTATCACAGCTGACAGGCTTTCCCATTTAAAGTAGTTTTGCAACATGAAGCCTCCAATGCTCAAAATGTAGAATTTCACGTATGTTAAATACGCCATCAAAAAACCTCCATGTAGTTCTAGGCAATCATTCACAGTAAAAAATAAGAGGAACTCTTAGAAAAACACTTCAAAAAGAAAGTAAAACCTCGTTAAAATCTGACAGTAAAATTGACATGGGCAATTAACCACCTTGCAGTATCCACAGATGAACAACATAAACCACTGAAACTGCACAAATTTACATACAAAAAATCTAAAACCAACTCTATTCTGCCTCCCATAAATCTTTTTACCGATACCTTTCGGCACTGGGAGTTATCCAGAACTACAGGTTTTCTCCGAAGAAGCTGAATCACATTCGAAATGTCTTAAAGTGAAGGGGAGAGGTGCGTTCGTTCCAACTCGCTCAGCGACGCCTTCTCCGTTCTCCTAGACCTGAGCTGCTACTTCATGCTCTTGCGTCGGAGGAAGGGCTGCCGCCCCCGAGCACCGGAGCTATAGGTGGTTAGGTACTGTCCGCAGTGCTTCTTCCCTTGACCGATCCACACCTACATTCTGCAAATTTAAAGACAAAAAAAAAAAAAAAGAGAAAAAAAAATGTAAAGCAAGGTGTCTCATGGTCTGCCGTAGTTTTGCTTAGCACATGGCTATTACCAAGGTAAAAGGCAATTTGCAAATACACAAGGCAAAAGATGAGCAAGCTTTAATGCTTATTTCCTCAAAATGTTTTGTAAAACACAAGGAAAGGTCCCAGCCCGCGAGCAGAAGCCAGAAGCCAAGCTTAGACCTCGTCCCGGCCGCTACGCGCTTCGCAGAGCCCAAGTCCCTCAGACACCTAAAGCAGGCTCTCCGCTGCCAGTGAGAAAGAACCTCTACGACACGTATTACACCAGGTCTGGTAGGACCATCAGTCTCTGTACATCATATGCAGGTCACAATGTTACGTTTTTTAGGACTTTTTTCCCTTTAACCACCACTTTTAACCACATTTTTCTAACGCTTACAGTTCAAGAGAAAACAAAACCACACAGCAAAGGTCATAAACCACACAAAAACTGATAAAATCTGGAGGGAGGGAAGCCCATCTCTCCCTGTTTCGAGCACACTCCAGGAAATGATTCCGTAACACCAACAGCTATAACGCTAATTCTGACCCTGTCTGTAAGCAGCAAAGTCCCTGGAAGGACTCTGAACAACTCCCTGAAGATCTGGTAACGTAAAAATCTTCCCTAAAGAGCTAGAAACATAAAGTTTAAATGCACTTCAGGATACACAGGCACGCTGGCAGATGTCACTCTGATCTCAGATCATGTTTCAGTGGCTTTATAACCACATTTAGTAACTTTTACTTCCAAAACAAGTCTTTTCAGTCCAACTCAAGGAAAGGAGAGCCCCACTAGCACACTGCGAAGCGGACTCTGGGCACATGCTCTCAGAGAGCACACGTACAACTCCACCAGTCAAAACACATCAACTTGAACAGTCATTCCCCTCCCCAACCCCAGTTTCTAGGATTTTCAGCCACTTCTTATGGAAACAGGAGATACAAGCAGTACTAGGTTTGATTTGCGGTTGAAGTGTGCCGACGTCCCTTCTGCCCTTACCAATTCTCCCACATTAGCGTCAGCCCTTTCCTTTCTCATCAGCCTTCAAGCCCTTGGGCAGATCACCCTGTTTTCCACCATAAACAGACCTCACCAAGGCTTCTGAGAACACACACACACACACACAAATGCTGCTGGGCACGGTCGTCCAAGTCCTGGGAATCTCTGCGCCCACCAGCACACTGCCCAACCCACTCCAACTTCTCTCTTTGAAGGAAAGAAAAACCACCACCCTATTTCAGAAAGAAGCATCTCTTCTGCAGCAAAGGACACGGCAAAAGCATCGGCATCTGCCTAAGAACACGAGGACTTGGCGAAACAAGTCACACGCTGCGTGACCAAAATGGAGAGAAAAACACACCACAAAACCTGCTGGCGTTTGTTTCATTTGTTTGTATTTTTCTTAGCAACTGATGCAACATACCCAGAAATTCTTTGGGACTGCAGAGATGTCTCCACAGGCAATCCAAGAATGTTTGTTAAATTCTTTTAAACTGAGCATCTGCTGTTGATTCAAAGAAAATTAAATGGAGCATGAAATGGAGCATCAATATGCAGGAATCCAGAGGTACTGGAAATTAGTCCACAAGCAGCAAGAACTTGATGGCTGTAATATGAAACTAAAAGGAAATAAGGTGGTCAGGACAAGGCCTGATACAGCTTATTTAAGTCAGGGAGAGGTATCAGATGAAAGCAGCATCTTAGCAGCTCAGACAGACCCAAGAGGGAATATCAATATGTAGCCAACGAGTTGAAAGCAGGAAGTCTGAGTAAATGTGAAGGGGAAAAGGCTGCAGAAGCAAAGCACACTGAACTGTCACGCAGACAAAAGAAAACTCCATCTGGGATAAACACACCCTAGGGCTTATTAGACAAATGGAACACCTAACTGCAAGGCCAGATGAACTGAGGCTTATAAAGGGACTAATATCCTCATTAATGGTAAATGGATTCCTACTCTGAGGAATCGTGTTAGATTAGATTACGGCGGCTGGGATTGCACCCACTTCCAGAACAGCCCTCAGCATTGAGAGAGAAGAGTGCTGCTGCTTGGAAAGACGACCGAGGTTTTAGCCTTGCTTTTGGGGCCAAAGGTGTCCCTGCAATTGTTCAGCACTGCCCTACCGAAGCACAGCTGGCCACAACCACCGTCCTGGGAACAGTACTACCCACTGCTACGCACCAGCGGCAATGCGGTCTGGAGAGCCCGGGAAACACAGGAGTGGGACTAAAAACACCACACTCCTTTTTTAAATACTATTCCTACCAAGGCATATGGGCACTCCCTTGGTCAGCCCGGGCAGGGGCTCGCTGCTCCTACGCCCGCCCCCCGAGGAGGCTCAGTGGGGCAGGATCGGTCTCGCTCTGCCTCGCACAAGGGTCCATCTCACCCAGTCCTCTCCGGGAAGACTCACGCAGACTAACTCGAACACACTCTCATACCACTGTTCCTCCTCTCCTCATTACAGCCCCCCCTGCTTTGTGCCTTCCCCCCCGCCCCGAGCTGACTCTCTCCAGAAACAGTGTGCTACAGGTTTCTGAACAGGACAGAATCTGCCATTTCACTTGTATTTTCATTAGCTACATGCGCTCTTCACAGCAAAACAGCAAGATTTTGCAAGAAGACTCCTCTAGGGAAGAGGGCTCTGAAGGACACAGGAGCCACAAGACAGCCGAGGCAGATGCAGTTAATAAGGACTCTGCACAGTTGAACAACCAGCACAGGCATAAAGAGAGAAATAAACAGCACAATATAAACTATGCAAGTCCTATCCGCCAGCCTTCCCTCAGCAAGCTGTGCCCCAAACCGTCGCTGCCGCGTCCCACCCAGCATCAGGCCTTGCTTTTACTAAGAATATCAGCCAGAGAGGACTCTTAAGCAATCCCGCCCTAATACGAGACCCCTTACGAGTGCAAAACTGCTTTTAAATATCCACTCCGCTCCGTTGCGCCCATCAGCACAACGAGCGCTGTGCTGAGCAAAGGCAACAACGGCAGCAGCAGCCACCCCAGGAAATCAGGCTGGCAGCAGCTGGCAGGGATGGAGGGTCCTGGGCGCTTCTGCCGCTTCCTCTCCCTCCCCAGCTTCCACTGGCCACGCAGCAGGCGAGCCCGGCTTTCCTCTCCGGCCCAGTTCCTGCCCCTTCCATCTTCCTCCTCCATTTCCTCCACCAGCCCAAGCTATAAACCTCTGTAAACTTCAGTGCAATTTTAGAAGTACAGACATGTAACATGTTTTTCCAAAATCCCAGTTTTGGAAAAACATACCACCTGAAAAGCCTAACAGATAAAAGCGTTCCATGCCACACCACTCTTGTTTACTTTCAGAACTAAAAGACCCCCTCAGAAAACGGTTCCAGGACTCGGCGATTTCCTGCCCTCCTTCCCAGACGCAGTGTTACCTAAGCACAGATGGCACAGATGCTTCCCACTGCTTCGCTTTGCCCACCGTAACCTGTGGGCAGAAAAAGGAGCCAAGACATGGCACCGCATCTCAAACAAGCTGCAGTCTTCTCCAGCCCGTGAAAGGATTTTCTGTAATTCAGGATGCATAACCTGCTGGTTTGAGATCCTGCACATACTGGAGTCACAACCCAGCTACAAAATCATCAGGCTAACTCTGCTTCCACCTTCTGCAACCGTCAACACTGCTTGTTGTAGCCTAGATAAAATCTGGGTACAAAACATACGGAGTAGAGCTGCAAACACTCAATTGCCCACGTCCACACAAGAAGCAGGAAAAGAGGAAATCTAAAATCACTTCTGCCGGCAGGCAAACCCTAAAGCCTAGTTAATGCAGAACAGCTGTTCAGAAAAGTCGTATATTAAAACCCACTTATACACATTCCTGTACCTTGCGTAATTGTTCTGGAACAAAATGAAAACCTACTACCTCTTCAAACAGCACATCATTAATTAGCACATCTAGAGAGCTATAGATCAGCAGGATTAAGGTTTTACAGTAACTATGGATTGTTATTTTATGCTACATAGCAGTCCAATCACTCCCAAGGGCACTGAAACAGATAATACTCGTGCCTAGAAAGCAAACTCCAACTTTTTCTTATCTCCCATAGGATGTTTCATGGCTTGCATAAACACACTGCAACTAACATTAAATGATTGCTGGCTGTTACAATAAAACTTAATGCTGGAGGATTTTTAATTTATAGCAGTTTACAAAAACAGCATTCCAGTGACAGCCAATCAATGTTTGATAACTCATCCACAATAAATTAATCAGTGCAATACAGTTTTATTGTGATTTGATCATTTTTTCAAAGTCATGCACTGTACAAACATTTGGTTTAGGTCTTGGGTTGGGGTGGGGCTTTTATTTCAAAGTGATTGGAATGATTAGTTTTTCGATATATTTTTGAAGTAGTAGGATGAAAACAGCACCCCAAGTTCGATAGTTGATCAGCACACAGGATTCACTGATGAGCAGGGACTGTTACAAGAGCGTCCTCGGGAGGTCTGGAAATGTCTACATTCTGTGTAATAATAAAAATACAGAGGAGAACATTTATCATGCAGCAGTAAGGGCAACAAAAATACCAACCAGATTCCCTCACAAGTACACAGCTGCATTTACTTAAAAGCAGAGATTTTTTTACCCCCCCACCCCCCCCCCACGCCCAAGAATGCAGCAGACTTACAGCTGGTTGCTGTCCCAGAACTACGGAAAACATATTTACAGTAATTGCTGATCCCATGCTGATAATATTACCAAAAGCTCGAGTCATTCATGTTTAGGAAGCCTTTTACAGGCCCAAGCAGGAATCCACTTAAACACTTGTATGTGTTTCAGCACATACCCATCTGGCAACTTTCAGTGCTTTGTTGAACTGTGCCGTATACTTTCCCAAGGCAAGTCTTTAACGTTTGTGTTATAGGCAGTGTACTACCCTTGACAAAATAGAAAAATCTTTTCCCAGACACCTTAACCATTCAAGACCGATCACACCAACTAGGTATCACCTCATTTTGCAGGGGCTGTAGAAAGAAAAAATTACATTCAACGCAGCAAATCATTCAAAACCAAAGGAAACCAAACCACTAAGGCAGCCAAACACTCACGCTAGGAAGCACAGCTCTGAGTGCAGCCGTGCAGAACCAGGCTCAGGAATCAATGCCTGCCATGGTACCACCTCATGCAAGTCCCAAAGACCGTGCAATCAGTATTCTCCCTTCCACCAAGAAAGCAGGCTATGTTCTGAACTTCCTTCCAAGGTCTTGATCTAAGATTTGTCACATTTTAGGCCAAATCATTGCCTACTCTTCAAACTTCATGCTGACGGGCTTCATGAGTCTTACTTGTTTTACATTGTGGTAAGCAAATTCAGCTTTCAGTCAACAGCGCTCTCCCCTTCACCCCACAAAATGAAAAAGGAGACCTGGATCCCTTGCTACGAGTGCTCTCCCTATCTGTCATTCCGAAAGACAGACGTGCAAAGTAGGCATTTTACCCCAGTGCTTGTTTTTTGTCCCAAAGAGGCAATCCAAGCAACAGCTAGAAATTCCCCTGAATTATTTTCAGTAAAAAGACTATAGACTCCTTCATTGGAAAAGGTCAGGAACTTAAGCCGCTACAATGCTGACAGACACAAGGCTTCAATCCACTTCAGAGAAATCATCACCAAACAATGAAGTTTACACATGCTGTAAATAAACACTGTAGTGCTTTGCCTGCATTTCTGCAATGTGAAAATAGATGCTTTCAGCCAAAGCCAAAAAGGATTGTCTGCACTCTTCTCAAACAAGGACTACCAATTACTTGTGGAGGCACCGAACAGCATACTGGCCAATTCTTAATCAAACAGTTTCATTGTTTAACAATGTTGTTATCTGTGATGCCGTATTTAATTAAATGCTTTGACTTCAATAGACTAGTTGAAAATTTAATTTTACAGAAGTAATTAACATTTTCGTAGGTGATTTAAATGAAAGCTTTTGAAATTTTCGTAGTCCTCTGAGCAGCATTTAAATGCAAACAGGATCAACTTAGTCCTTCATTGAGCCCTACTAAATGAACAGCGTTTGCATCACCCATACTTCACTGCTTTGGGTTTCTTTGGTGGCAGAGGAAGATAAGTGTTTGGGGGTTTTTAATAAAAATGCCTCTGCTCCTTTTTTTCTTTTTTAAAATTTATTAACTAAATTCATTTCTGTTCTAAACAAACAGCTTTGTGTCTTTGAGTCCACTGCAATGCAACTGGATCTGCATGATCTCTGCATGCACCTGAAATACAGCCACTCAACACCAATGTCAGTATGGCCACATCACTTGCTAGACCTTTTCAGAGCCACTTGGTGATTCAGGCAGAGCTTTCCCCCTCAACATAAACACCTTCGGTTAGAGAAGTCGTTATTTCCAACAGCAATTCCCAAGACACTTTAGCAAGCTGTAAATTCAGCACCAATATTTCATCAGCCAAACTAAAGATGTTCAGTTGATCTACCTTCTTTAACGCAGATAACCTAACACCTGCTCTAAGACATCCTCATCTATTTTCACCATGCTTCTCCAAGACTTTTTAGGCACTGCGAAAGCAGAATGGATTTCCTAAAACTAACAAAATGAACACAGATACAGAAGTGGTAAAGCAGAACGACAAAGGAGAAAGGGGAACAGAGAGGAAATGCACAATACAACTACCTAATAGAAAACATCTTGGCTATGAATGACCAAAAGTCAGTTATTTTCAGAACTCAGAATAGACAAGTCATTAAGACAACACTTCTTTGCAGACCTCCAGCATGAATCCTGCACAACCGCCACAAATGTGGCATGAAAGTCAAGGTCAGGCATTTTGTGTTACATACCTTACCGAATACACACTTATAAACACACATCACTACATTCCTTTTCACCACAAACCACTGTTCTGAAAAGCACCGCAAACAGCCCTTTTTTCTCACGTTATCAAACTGACTTCTAATTCACTGGTAGGCATGGCTCATAACCTCAGCAAGGAATCAGTGCCGTACCTAGCAGCATTAGCATGAGGATCTGCAAGGGAACCAGAAATTTTCAATCATGACACATTTTACGTAACTTTCATAATGCAACACAGGAAGAGCTATGCGCAAGCAGCAGAATCAGCCTAAGCTCATGTCAACGTTAAGGAGCAGACAGAACCGTGTGCCTGACAGAGGGAGACTACCAAAGCCGCCGTGGACTGACATCTTCTCTCCACTTACATTTTACAAATACATCCAATTTCTTTTTCCCCAGTTGTCCTGCTGTATCCCGAGACCTAGTCCTCCTCTCCACCTTTGGCTTAAAACACAGGTGGCATCATCAATTCGTCTTTTTCATACAGCAATGATCGCAGTGATGGAAAAGCTGATGATTTCATTATTTACTCTCTCCAAAATAAGCGTGGCATTCATAACAATGTACTTTTTGACTACACCCCACTTCTGCTGAATGACAAAGCCTGGAAGCACTTTATACAGTTTTTAGATTGATACCATATCCTCAAATTCTCATTCATTTTTTGATGATAAACTACTCCAGCTAGAGCTCATATGCAAGATAAATTTGCTCAATAAAAAGGACCCCCCCCCTCAACAGCAAATCGGTAGTAAAGCTTGATGTGCAAAATTAGATACGCTCAGCTGAGTTATCAAATAATTTCTAACCACAAGGACAAAGGAAATCAGCTCAGATAGTACATTACGTCAAGTTCTCTCATCTAAAAAACGTTCTTACCTCTGGTTTATCTCTGTGTGTGTTTACAGCTTCAACATTCAGGAAGATAGATTCTACTTTACACCCTGTTGATAGAAAACACATTTTTAGAATTGGTTTGCTTTAAAAATGAATTCGTAGTTGTTGTGGTGTGAAGAAAACCAGCTCTATCCTGGCTGAAACCAGGAAAATAGTAAAGATGCAATACAATTTTGAATGGGTGAAGCTTCATCACTTTTCCCTTCTGATTTGTAATAGAATCTTCCAAATTCTGAATAGCTAAAGCTACTGGAATGAATCTATTCCACCAGGATTAATATAATTTCTAATCTGATAATCCATATCCTGTTTTCATCTTATCTTTATCATTATTTTCTTTGAAACAAATTCCCATTTTTAAACATACACGAACAACATTCAGTCAGAAAGTTCCTATGTGTAACTTCTTGGGTTTTTTAAACCAATTCTTCGAATTTCATTGTAATGCAGAAGATAAATGTTCCTCTCATTTTTTTAAAACATGAAAATGATTATGAGAAGGTACACTGTGTTGTTAGCAACCCCCATTCCTCTACACATGCAAAACACCCAGCTAAATGGAACTTTAAAGTTGATTTCTGAAAAGGAACTTCTCTTCACCCAAAAATGGAAAACTCCAGAGAAGTAAGTAGTAGTTGTCTCTTATGACTCTAGTTTTTAAAAGGTATACAGGTAGTATAAACTGACGCACTTAAGAGAATTAGTTACTCAATACACTGAGGCCACGCCATTTAAATCAACATCAAGCTGCCAAACACTACCTTACCTCACATGAACATTACTTTTATAAGCTACCATTACCCTACACAACATTCAAGAATAGTCAAATTCCTCTGACCTACCACGGAGTCCATCTTCTATCACACATAATTTTTCAGATTTTTCTGCTCACTTATTTCCTAAAGTCACAACACCCTCCATAGCATTACCACATGCCAGATAAAAGTGATTTTAGTCTTTCCATTGAAAGCCACTGCACTTTCAAAAAAAACCCCCAAAAATATAAATTAATAGGGCACATATTTGGCTTTCCTCAGGGCAGCCTTTTCAGAGAAACCCCATTTGTCATGAACACTGTGAGCACACGCTGCAGGAGGGCCAGCACTCAGCAAAATAGTCAACAAGAAAACAGATTTTAAGGGGGAACAGCACACATCTCCCACTAGAATAGCACGCTTGTCATCCCTCTGCTCACAGACCCGTTGCAACACCTGACACCAAGCAAAAGCAAGCTCTGATCCCTGATGCTGGCCACTACTGAGGAGGACACGCTTCCACACAGACCTCTCAGTCCGTACCGCTAGCTGAGTTTAAGACATGCCCCCCCCCCCAATTATAGAATGGAAAGTTTTAAATATAAAGGGACCCAAGTTACCCCACTATTAATTGTAATGTGCGTATTCCCAACTCATTTTTAGTGACTATGCGCATGTCCTGAAGCTGCATCTTGCTGTAGGCATCTCTCCTGCGCGCTCCCACACAGACCACTGATACACTGGATTGTTGGGTAAAAGTCTAATTTATCCCAATCCAACTGTCAGGCCATAACAGATGTTCCTCTACTAAAGATCAGACGTGTAAGGTGGGAATGACGCAAGCTTCAAACGCTAGAAAGAGCAAACCCCTACGGTAGGTGTTACCCCAGAACAGGATTAGCTGGAAGGTATTAAACACACCATGTTTGATCCTGCATCCTGCCTCACTGGAGCCAAGTGACACATCAGCTTGAAATAATGCTATAGAATACTAGTTTATACATAGTTTACATTTTCAGATGGTCAAATTCCAAGAAGCAGGTCAACTGAAATGTGCTAATCAGACATACGTATCAAACACTTGAAAAAAGAACCATGGCATTTCTTTCACTGAAGTCAAAAGGACAGGGATGGTATTTCATACCACTCTTTTCCCCTTCCTCATTTAGTAGGTCAGTAAACACTGCAAACATCCAGGCTCTCTTTAAATTTATGAACACTCAACCTCCCACTTAAAAAAAACACAGGAACAAAAAAAAAACCCCCACCCCAAAACAAAAACCTCTCTGTGGAAACATGCTGAGACTAGCAACTCAAGGGAATCCATTTTCCAAAAACTGACCTTTTAACAACAACAACAAGAAAAGTTTTAGCTGTTTTAAATCTCTATTTTCAACACTCCAGCTTGTCATGCAAGGCTAGAACGCCAGATGTCACCAAAGCATAGACGGTTACTGCTTACTGTAGGACGTCACTGCAATTAGCTGCGAAATCTCAAGAGATTTTTGTCATTTATCTACTTCATCTCAACTTTATTTGAAACGTAACAAAAAAAGAAAGTGCAGGTCTAGACGGCTATTTTTCAAAGCTGATAATCAAAGACAGCTTTGCATTTCCGATTAATAACTTGACTACCATTTTTTGGCAAGTCATTTCCTGGTAAGCGGTGCAGATAGTTCTCTTTGTCTATAAATAATCTTCTGAAGTGTCATGAGGTATCAGAAGATATAATTAAGTCATCACTTAAAGAAAATTAACAGCAGGCACGTGTTAAGCTGAGGTTGAAACACACACAAAACTTAATTAGCAATCAGCCTAAAAGCCAAGAGGTACATGCTGCAACCCATACACACACTGTACAAGCTAGCAGCAAATCTCAGTTAAAGCCCCTGAGCTACACACTGATAATAGCTGCTGACAAACGTGTGCCAACAAAGTAAGTTCATGTGGTAGCATGAAGGTCCACAAAAAAATACTTCAGGAGAAGAGAACAAAGTTATTTAAGGTAAGAGAAACATCCTTTGTAAGATGATAAACCTACATAAACGACGGTTTGCCCGTCTCCTAAAAAGCAATACCCTCAATAAACAACGAAATTTTACTCTATCAGACACATGTAAATGGCATGGGTTTTCCAGAGGAATTAGTGAAATAGAGCACCAAAGATGAGCAAATATTAACCAAAGGATTCACTGACTCTAACAAAGCTGTACAGGCATACATGCAATGTCAAACCTAATTGTTCAATTCTCTTTTAAAGCAAAATAAATTAAAAATGTGTTTTAATTTACATGTTTCACAAACTTTACTGATGACACAGAAAGTACAGTTAGACTTATATATACTTAATACTACTCACCGTAAGCCACTGGGGTTAGCTTTAAGACAGTATGCAGCGGGCACTTCAGGTAAGGCAGTTGTTCTGAGAAATTGAACAAGTTACATATCAAATACAGATTACAAGAACACTAACTTTTCTATTACATTACAGGTCAACCACTTAAAAGCCTTTTTTTTCTGAGAGTATATCTGTTTTCTTTCCTAGCATGCAACAGAGATGCTATTCAAACAGAGCAGAAGAGCAAACATTACAGCATTTCAGGTGAGGAGCAGCTCAATAAAACCAAGTTTCACATGTGGGTCAAACAAAAAATTACCCTTGCATACTTGCCTAGCACAACCACCCCCTGATGATGAAGGAGATTTTTAGAACCTACTGTTTGGAAGCTTAATTAGTAATTTTTCAAAAAACAGACTATTTGTAATGTATCAAGGAAGACTCACCTGCAGGCTTGTCAAGAAAATATGCAAGCAAACAGCGCATGACAGCTTGGTGACATATGACAAGCACATTTTCCTGCCTTTCAAGTTCCATAATTACCGGCTCCAGTCTCTGAACAAGATCTTCATAGGACTAAGTGGGGAGGAGAAATGCACAGCACATTAAAACGGGAAAACTCTTTGGACAGTGTATGGCTACAGAGTGGATCTTACTTTCCTATTAGTCATCTTCTAAATGTTGTATTAGTGCACAGACAAACACTGTAGCAATAATTTGCCTTTAATTCAGTAGACAGTCTGGGTCTTCCAGACTATCAGAGCATACATATAACAAAACAGATCTTCCTCATGGAAAAGCTTTATTAAATTGGTCACTATGATCAAGGATTTCCACAAAAATCCATAAAATTCAATTCACAGCATCTGCAAACGTACAGGTTAAGTCTTGCACATTATTTTCCATGCCTCATCTTCAAAAGCATCTCTCTTCCAAGCAAAAATCTGGGAAGCCAAGCCTACAGTCAGCACACAAACAGTTCACAAAGCCTGACTTGTTCAGGCTGCCCTTTGAAAACAAGCTTTGGGCTTGATGAACTGGTCTGGTGATGGCAGCCACCATCCCATCAGAAGTCACACAGGATTGAGGCTGGATTTCTCTTGCAACCTGTCCTGCACAGCAGGCCCACAGGGATCTGCTGCTGCATGTAAACAGCAGGATTTCCGCACGTGCATGCTGAAGTTAGTTTTCACATGCACCGTAAAGGCAGTCCCGCCGAAACGTGGCACGCGTTCATCTGGAGAACACAGCGCATCACCCAGCAGGGCAGGGAACGACCACAGCAGAAAGCCTTCACCCTGGTCCCAGGGCAGGCACGGTGGCTGCCCGGCCGGAAAGCAGCACCGCCGATCCAGGCCTTGGCAAGAGAAACCCAGCAGCCTCCAGCAAGGCAGTGCAAACCCCTGACAGCACCCCCGGCTCTCACCAGCGACAGAGGAACTGCCTTGGACAAACGACTGAGATCATCCCCTCACCCCAAGGCGATGAGACAGTTTGAAATGTTTGTCATCATCTCAGAAGATGGCATCACTTTGAAAAACAAACACTCCTGGTTCAAATAGCTTAGGAGAACTTTGCAGCTTAACGACTGCCTCATTAGTAAGACGAGGTCACGGCAAGAACACTGCTCTTATCATAAGCTGCTCTTAGCACAGTGATCACTCTTGACTGCTGAAGAAGGAAGACCACAGAGCTCCGCTTCCTCACCGCACCAACAGCAACGCAGCTGGTCCAATTACTCGTCTGCCCTGAATCCTAAGCCTTCAGCACCCATAGATGTGACCATCTGGTAATTGCTGCGCTGTAATGGGTTTGCTTTAGAAAAGCTGTCAGCAGGTTATTTTCTCAGAGGCAAGGAGTTTATTAAAGTGAAAGACCAATGTGGCTACAGATTTCAGCCAGAACTGCATGCAAAACAGCCATCACCTACAGCAAGGATGAACAGAAAAAGGCAATCTTGGCAGTATGTCTGCATATGCAGTAGTTAGAACCCTTGCAATCTTTCTTCCTGCTTCACCACTGCAGGACCAGCACAGAAACGATGCCCACGAGAACAAAGCTCTCAATTGTTTTTCTAATGTATTGTTTTATTTTTCAAGCCCCGAGTCAAATTAAAAGGTCTGGGCTCAATCCTTGCAAGCTCCTATGTGCTTTCCCCTGGAGAAAGGAACAACCTTCTTATTAATTTTGAAATTTCTTTTTTCCTTCCTAAAGCCAGCATGCATGTATTCAAGACGACAAGGAAGCCCTTTGCCTCAAGAGAGAAAAAACAGCATACCTCTCCTTTAGGGTATCTGTATCTGTATTTGTCTTGGTCTCTCAGTGCAAATTCAAGCGGGTAATTTTCCTGTATTTCTTCATATGTCATTTCTTCACACACTCCCTATGGGCAATAAAAATAATTAAAAAGCACGTATTTCCAGCAGTGCAAAAAGCAGATATCACTCTTAAATAAAAGCATATATAAATAACCTTCAACAATTTTATTTTGTTACTCTGACGCTTAAAGACAAAATTGTCACACATTATGAACAGGACACTCGGCTGGACTCAGATGTGGTTAGAAGGAATCATTAAATCCCTATACAAGTCAAGTTACATCTATGGGCAAGCAAGGTCACATTTTATCTGTTACACCTGCATACATATCTTACAGGTACAGCTGGAAGCACCAACTATCAATGCTTTTTTTCTTTCCAACCCTCACCTACGAAAAATTTCATAGCAACATGGCTTCTACAGGGGAATGTTTTACTGGGAAAGACAAGCCAAGAGTAAATTAATTATGGCAAATTCTAATAAAACGTTTAGCCTTGTTAACAGGAATTAATGACCTTTTTTTCCAGCCTCTAGGGCCAGCTTAAATGACCTTCTATCCCATAAAAGGCATATCATTACAAATTAAGTACTTCCTTTAGCCCTAGCAAACAAAGCAACTTCTCAGACATTTGGAGAAGAAGAACTTACTGCATCTATCTCATTCAAAACCTTCCACTGCTCGTAAGGCACTCCCAAGGCTTCAGCAGTCTGAATTGTCCTTTTCATCTGGCTGGTCCAAACTTTCAGGTCTTTGATATTTTGCTCATTAATAAATTGTGCCAAGCTTTTCGCAAACTGAAAGAAAAACCATAAGATACTTGACGAGGGCTCAGAGCCACCACACTCTGTTCAGTTTGGAACACACAGGCTCTAGCTTCTGTAAACTCACTACAACTTTTCTAAAAGACTCTGTCCAAGTTTTTGCTAAGAAATACAACATATTCCGCTAAGGCAAGAGGGACAGGGGAGGGAAAGAAAGGAGTACAAGACACCCAAGTGTTCTGCAATTGCCATCTTTACCTCCAGGAATTTTCCTTTCAGCTTTTAACTTGTGAACCTTCCCAATTATCCAACAGGTCAGGATTTTACAAAAATACAGTTAAAAATAAAGCCGTCTTGACAACTGCTTTGTGTTGTAGCATTAAAAAAAGAGTTTCAACAACAGAATGACAGTCAGATAGAAAAACATGTATCAAATCACGAAGTGTGTCCATCCAGTTTCCACTGCCCACACACACAACTAAAAAATCCGTCTTAAACACATTAAGAGGAAAAGAGTGTAGAGGAAGAAAGCTGTAATTACACAGCATGAAATGCACACATGCACAGCTACACACAAAACCCAGTCACACTTCTTCAGGAGGCACATACTTCTTTCCCCCTGACAGACAGTCCAGGATCTCCTCCTATTCTCCCTTTCAGATTGAGTTCACTTTCTCCATGTCGACAGAGGTAGATTGACCGAGGAGTCACGTGGATATTCATGAGGTAGTAGACAATCCGGCTCTGGATGTGATCCATTACTCTGTTCACAAGGTAACTTCTTCCAACATCCATGATTTTAATATAAGAAAGATCCCTTTCACAAACAAATCAAAAAGTAAGATTCCAGATAGTTTCTATTAGCACGTACCACAATCTTCCCACCCTCTCTCTCATTATAAAACAAAGCGGCAACAAACCAAAACAACAGACAAACTCTGAATTACCCACAGAATATGCATTAGTCTTAAGAAACAATGCAATACTCCAAAGGTACAGGATGAACTCTATTCCTTTCTTATGTAAGCTGCTGACATCACTTTCTTTTCTGTTCCCTTTACTCCCACTTTGCCTCTCAAATCTAGATCCTACTTGTGGGAAAAAACAGTCCTCCCACTGAAAGGAAGCTTCAGTAAGATATCCAGATATTTTACAATACTAGATATTTTTCTCCAGGTTACAAAAACTTCCCCCACAGCAAGTATTTGGCTGATAGCACTCAGGGGCAAAAGGCATGGGTCACTATTTACCCATCCCAGTTAAACCTTCCAGAAGAACTACAGCATCAGGACCAGGGACTAGCCTGGAGCAAGTAATTTTCTCAACCACTTTATCAACGACTATTCATTAACAGTACGGTTTTTTTTTACCCCACCACTACCTTCTCTCAGCATCAGGCAGGTTATAATTTCAATTTTCACGGTTTATCCTTTCTCATCTGAGCTATAATTTCAAAGTAGCATCTAGTTTAAGGGCAAAAAATTGAAAATAACCACTAATGGTTTCTACTGATGCATTTGAGACAGCACACCACAATAAACCAAGACAACTTATCATAAAAATGGATGTGATAAGAAGCAAGCATCATCACCTCATCTCTCATAGTGTTCTTTGGAGTTAATCATTACTATTTCACTCAGGCACAGCCATTAGGTCCATCACAGAAATTACATGGATGAGCTGATCTGACTGAACCAGCTTCACACTGCTTACACTCGATTACATTAAAATGCAGCACAGCCTTCACTATAGCACCTATCCAGAAACAAACCACGAGCATCTGGTGTGAGTGCAGCTCAGAATCCCACACTGAAATCCTGGACTGTAGCAGAAGAAACAGGACTCCTCCTCACACGGTTCATCCCTACCTTACTTTCATAGGTGTTGAAAATTGTGAATGAAAAACAGATGAATGCTTTGGCATGAGAGCAAATAATCTAACTATGAAAGCTTCTCATAGCCCTGCATCCACAAGATAATTTGCAAGCACAAGTAAGTTAATTTAGAAGTCATATTTTTAAGACTGATGTGTTCAAAATTCATCTTAGCCATGTCAACAAATGAAGTTATGCTTACAAATCACTCAGGTCTCCTCTACATACTAAAAAAACCCCAAATAACAACCACTACAGCTAGTCTGGTATAATTTCTAAATGCTGGTTCTATCCCAGCAGAATCATACCATTCTCCAAGTGGGAAAATAAATAATAATACTGTCTCAGAACAGATTCATTAGGCAACTTACCTCAAGCAAGCAAGCAAGCTTCCAGACTACACCCCCAGAGCCAACTCTGTCTAATTTGCCAAAGGAAAGAGAGCTCAAACCATTAAAAAAACATGACTAGAAAGCCCTAATCCCCAATATGGGATGCTCCATCGCCTAAGGAAACATCTTAAAAATAACCCAGCTGTGATCGCGGTATTATTTCATCACTCACTTGTCAAGAGTTTCATCCAATGTCTCATATGAGTTCTTGTAGCACTCTATTCTTTTCATGAAGTCTTCTGTTGCTTCATCATTACTACAATCAACATAGTCAGGACTACCCAGCTTCACTTGCTGTTTAAAATAAAAACAGGAGAGTAGTACATGAGTTTCTTTCCCTTTTTAATGGGAGTTTAAAGAAACAGGAGGGGCAGAACACAAGACAAAAACTTATTTTCTGGAAGTTAAAATACATGTAAAGCAAAAAAAGCTAATCTTCACAGAATTAAACTTCTGAGTTAGAACACACATGGGCAGGAAAAGAAATTAAAAGTGTTCCATTAATGGGAGCTAATGTTTTTTTGCTATGGGAACTTCTTATAATGTACTTCTAAAAATACTGAGCTACTTTAAACCTCTTCACTTAGAGCAGTTGAAGCAAACTTTTCTATACTCACCACAATGTTTGCAGCAATGACCTCTGGATCTACGCACACTGACTCAACAAAAAAAGTCTTCAGTCCAAATGGGAAGTCATATGTACAGAAAGAAGGAAGAAAGAAGATGCATTGAAACGCCTCTGGAGAATAACACACATGAGCAGCACGTTGCCCACTTCCACGCTAACCCCTTAAAGAGACATTTCTCCAGACCCTCTCACCACAAATTGTTGGTTTACCCTTTCCTGAAGTATCATGCTCTATACTATTTTTCCCAACAATGCTTAGAAGTGGAAAAATTTTGCAGTAAGAGAAGTTTAGGATGGAAGAGGAAGAAATAAATGCAGAGGATGCAAGTTCAGCCATACAAACGGTAACTAATGCTTCTGAAATAATAATTTAGAAGCCTTTCAACTAATGGAGTAGCCTCCCTTAAAGAGGTTTGTGTTTTACTGTCTCAAAGGTTTATGGTGACACAAGTTTAGAGGCAACAGAAGATTACTGGAGAACAGCTAAACGCAAAACAATCGCGGACAGAAGGCAGAAAGCCACAAAAAGTTTTTGGTTTGTACAGAACACAGAATTCCCTACACGTTTCTGCAGCAAAAAAACTGCACTAGGAACTGTATCTTAAATGGTTCTTGCTGACAGTCCGCTCAGAACTACAGGATGATAGAAGGGTCACTTTTCATCACAAACAATGACTGAGAACACAAAATGCTCTATTGACTAAACATCTAGGAAGGATGTGGCTTATGATAGTGCACTTCTTAACTAGGGAGTACAGGTAAGGGCAAAACTATCATTGCCTTACTTGCCCAGCCATTAGCTCAGTACTCTTTTGCTTTTGACTCACCTTATACCCATTTTCTTCACCAAATTTGTAAATAGTTTCTCTACGTTCTCGAGTCGTGTTTGTAGCGTCAAAAACCTAGGAATAAATACAGAGAAAGAGAGAGAAATTTAAAAAGCATCCTGGTCTGTGAAAAACACAGTGTTAGTAACAACAAAAATACAGGTTCAAAGTCCATCAGTGTAAGGAAAAGCAATGAAAACACTTCCACTTCCCTGTCAACATGCTCAACAGAAAAACAAAAGACATTCCTACTTTATACACATAATTTTCTAAATATTAAAAAGAGAGTAATATTTTGAAAGCAGTTGTAGCAGAACACTGTATTTGGAAGAAGCAACCAGAATTTAAGTGTAACACGTAACAAAGGACAGAATCTCCCTCCTGGTGCGCATCAGCATTAAGACTGATGCACGGGTTTTGTAGTGAACTTACGCTACACAAAAAAAGATACTGCAGCCAATACACTATGCAAAATGCAAGTGTAAAACTTTTAAAGGGCAGAAGATCTGCTAGACTTGTAAATGCTGCCCATTAATTACAAGATACATGCAGGCATTTTTCTAAGAACTTACATTTAGCTCTGAACACACCAGTGTTTTACCAAAGTATGAAGTCTGCCAAAGTATAGAGTTTACCTCATGTCCTCAGCAGAGCTTATAATTATAGCTAATGGTTCTCCCTGATTCGCTAGTGAAAACACCACAGAGTTGTGTCAGCAGTCTTAAGAAAAACGTTATGCACAAAATATCATTAATGTGAATAAACAACTTCAGTAGTTGAACAGCTTATGTTTTGCATCCCATTACTAAATAATCAGATATGCAGCAATTTACTTTCTCCTGCTCTCTTCAGAGACTTCTCATGTCAGTCACCCAATACCCAGGATGCTTTTTGTTCAGTAAGTCTTTACCTTTCACTTCAAACACTAAACAAATAGAAACACAAGTGCACCAAAACAACAGATGTGTTTAACAGTACATTATATAATGAGGAGAAAAAGGGGACATTTTTCTTAGTATTACCCTCTCCTCAGTTAACCCCTCAAATCACAAAGGCTGATGCTCAATATGGCATCATCAGCCTGAACTTAAGTGCTCCTTTCACTGCAGCAACAAGGCAGATGTAACATACAACTCCAAAAGAAGAGAAAAAAAAAAAATCTGATAAACTGAAGAGACATGGGAATGACTCGGGCTGTATCTTATCTATCAGACACACACTGTTTTGTAGGGAAGCATCTCAAGAATGTGTCTTCAACAAGAAACTTACAGCCACGTGCCCGTTTTCTTCACTGAGGTACTGTCGGACGTCATTCAGCGCTGCTAAGGCACACTGCCTTAAAAATGAAAGAGAGTAAAACTCAAATGCTAGTTAAAAGTAGTTTTATTAATGCACTTGTGCACCGTGATCAGAGTGTCCTGCAGATGTTAGGGTATGTCTCTCAAAATCATGTATTTTTTTAATCAGTCCCCCCCATGAAACCGGGGAAAAACCAAGCTTATACTAAGGAAATGTGGCCATGGCCATCCGCCTAAAAGAAGAACAGTCCAGTGCTCCTCTGTGCAACCGATGCAACTACACGACCACGGAATACCCATCAACTTTGCTGACCAGGATAAACTTTCACTGTTCTAAAGTAACACCACTGAATCATCCCTGCATAAACTGTATTCTTTTCCCAGTTACCTATTCATAGATATTTGCATCTTAATTTAATTCTCAAAGAGGGAAAAAAATAAATCAACTTAAGGCTTTTTATTTTGTAGCCCTAAGTTAAAGTGGATAGACAACTATTTTTCAGTAATCTACTACTTCTGTTTTGAACCGCTGCGTAAAAATTGCTTATGTCAAAAAAAAAAAAAAAATCTGTTAAAACAGAGTAAAACAAAGTTAGCACCAAGTATTAGGGACAGAGGTGAAAATAACATCCCATTGTAGTCATCAACCCAGTGGAATTAGTTGGAGACTGCTGAGGACACAAACACCAAAAAACCCCATCCCTTGACATACGTACTTGACACTTGTGTTAAATATGGACAAGAATAAATTCATTTGCAACTTTGCTATGTCCCCACCATTAGTATTATGATTTCTAACACACAAGTAATACTGCTGAACATTAAAACTCTGCACGATTTACTCATTAGTTGAGCAGAGCCCCATTTATTTCCAGTAAGTACAGTCTTTCTGCAGTACCAACATAAAATCTGTCCATCTCAACAGCCTTTCTGTGCATTACTACTCTATTTGGACTTCCAGGCTGAAATGCGTAACTCTTCTCTTACATTTACCATATTCTGCATGCACAGCTTTATCTTAAAAGAAAAATGATGGCTTTTCAATGCTGACAGTATTTCCACATTAGCATGGTTAATAGATGTCAGGAACTGAGATTTATCAGTCAAGTCTTCACTAAATAAATATAAACCCTCTTTACTCATTGCTAACTAGGCAGATTAACTCACACAGCCCATTTCATGTTATATTCCCCACCATTTAGCCTAACAGGTGACACAGAGGCATGTTAAAAGGTTTGGCTCTACCTCTAAGCAAAAGGTAGGGGCTTGCAAGGCTAATGCACCTCATATCTACTCTTTGGTCCCAAAGGATTAGGAGGTTTTTGTGCAAGTTGCTCTCCTTTGACATTAGCAATACTCAACTGCTGCTGAAGAGGAAATGGAAGAGAGGGAGAACAAGCAGAGGGACAGCCACAGAAGAAAGTCCAGATAGTAAGGAAGTCCAGACATTTTTGATGCTTGAGGTGAAGCAATTAAGAACAAAATACTCTGTATTTTAAGTAGCCTAAACAAATCGCATTTCCATTCCTCTAAAATTTCTGTTCCTTCTCATTTCATACTCTTAAGTGTTTTCCTGAACATATTGAAAAAGACAATGAATTGTAAAGAAAATCAAAAGACCTTCCCATTTATCTTCTGTAAGAAACAGGCAGCTCCCTCTTGCTCTGACCTTCTCTTCATTTACCCTTTCTTCTCAAGGTCTTTCCTCTATGTTAAAGCACAGCCTCTTTCCAGGCAAGAGGGGAGTCTTAGGTGCTACACCTGGGCACAAACGTTCATACTGGTGCTCACCTTGCTTTGCATAGTATTAGCAAAACATGGCAATTTTCAAGGCAGTGCACTGATTGACTACATGAAGCATCTGCACAGTGGCCAAAAAGACAATTTCAGGGAGAGAATAATAGTGTTCCATTCCCACTCATTTGAACAGATAATGACAAATACGTTCAAAGTACTCCAGGCAAAAAATTCCAGCATGTAAACCAAAAAGAAAAACAGTTATGTGGGTTTTTTGTTTCTTTCTGATTCACACAAAAGCTCTAAAATGGCATTTTAGAAATTAGACAGCAGAAAGCATCACATCTATTAGCTGATACCTTACAAAAAGGTAAGAAAAATAATAACTGTTTGTCAAAACTGCTTTTGTTTTGAGTGAAAATATCCTGGAATATCTGCAGGAATGACAGCAGTCACAGCCTACTGAAAGGTGAAAAGGAATCCAGTTTAGGTATTTACCTTCTCTGCATTTTTGATGCTTGACAGGAAACAATTAAAAAAAAAATATCCCAAATTTTAAGCAGCCTAAACAAATCACTTTTCCACCCTGTCTATGTCATTTCATACTTCAGTCTCTTAAGGATCTTCTTGAGCATACAAAAATGCAACTTAAAGCAGTCATTTTAATACAATTAGCATTCTGTAGCCGAACACAATCAAAACTTACTTCCTGATTTTCAAGCCTTCTTCATTGTCAGGCAGGAAGAATTCAAAAGATTTATACTTTTTCACCAAATCTCGACGATACTGACCAACATTAAATTCTGCCAAGAAGAAACCAGTATTAGTGGGAACTAACAATATTCACATAAAAAGGACAGAAGTTATGACAGCTTTGAAATGAAACTACCTGCAAGGATAAGATAATTCAGCATGTACAAAGTCAACCTATCATACTACTTCTTGTGTTTTGAGGGGGTGTTGCTTTGTTTGGTTTTATATACAAAGACAACAACAGATCATGGAAATGGAAGAACATTTGGGCTGTTGGGTAGCTTCAATGGAGTCACTTGACCATATTGCTGTCTCTGTCTGCCAGTTTGCCTGGACAACAAAAGAAACTCTTTTCCTGCTGTGCAGGGGTGATTTGAAGTCTATTCCAGTAGTTTACAAAGGACTACTAATAGTCTGGCTTTTTCTTCTGTGTACATGTGCAGTGAAACACTATTCTGACAGCACCTCCCAAAACTTTCAGCTCTTACTTAAGCAAGGAAGAGTTCTAAATAGGACGAACCAATCTTGATTTTGATACCTGAAACTTAAAATTCAAGTTGTGGAAACTTTATTTTCAGAACTCTGCTCAAACATTTCTATTCCTTAAAGATCAGTACATAATATTTCACAACCCCTGTTCCATTTATTTTTAAAAAATACTTAAGCTGTAAAAAAAAATTTTTTTTTTTTTTAATCAATCAGCATCAGTACTGAACATAATCTTACTGTGACCTCTTAACCGTGGTCAAAGAAAACTATCCTTATCTGGGCAAAGGTCAATAAAGTCTATGGCCGTACACGTGTCACCATATCGGATATGGGATTAGAGCAAGGCAGTTCTGTTTTGCCACATGGCAGACAATGACACTGTAGCCTGTTAACTTCATTCAACAGCTGGTCTCTGAGGTGCAATTAATGTTTAACTCATTTCTGACCTATAAGTTTTCTCTGTTGAACTGCAAAGCATTTCTTTCTAACATAAGATCAAACTGAAGTATTCTGTTTGAGAAGCTATCATGGTATAACTACTTGCCAGACTTCATTTCTGGAAAGAAGAAAATAAATAACAGACACAATTGCTGAGTTGTAATTAAGGAAAAAAGACATAGGATAAAAGAGCTGAACCATAAGCTGCTGTATATAGGTTGCTGTTGGGATGGGGGGGGCGGAGAATAAATAAATAAATAAATATTGTCTGTCCCCCCCCAAAGTCAAGTTCTGTTTGAATTCAACAATGTTGATGCAAATTTTTTTGTGGTCAACTATATGACATGGTTTATAGTACAATTCAGGTTATTCTGTGACAGGTTTAATGAGCACTGGCCATACTGGCTATATGAAAAGGTGGCTCCTTGTAAGAAAAACAGAAGATGCAAGAAGTTCAGATAGCCTGTGCCATCAGGCAATAGCCCTTTAAAAATTAAAAAAAATAAAAATTTCTTAAGAAGTAACTGTTACTGCAAGAGGGTCATGCACAACAAAGCAAAAAGTGCTATCTAGTGGGATGATCTTTAGCCCTTATTATTAGCATCCACCCCTGTGGAAAAGCTTCACAAAGCTAACTGGTGTAACTACCACACAGCCAGTACTATTCAAAAAAGCTTCTCAAATTCAGTATCTAAAAACCACATTGCAACACCATTCTATTCAGGCATCTAATTAACCTCATTTCCATCAAAAAGCCCAGACAGAAGTCCTTTGTATTTTTAACCATTTCACAATCTAAACGACAAGAGGATTTTGGAAGAAACAAAAGAAAACAGAACTGACAGCTGATATTATTGGACTAACATCAGCCCTGGGCTATCTACTTCTACCTTCCGTTCTTGAACTCTCCAGCTTGCTTAATGTATGTTACATGAAAAGATGGCATTTATCTTTTTTCTATTTTACATAATCTCATAATTTTAACCATCTGTCTCAGAGAGTAAGAACACTTACTATATTAAGCACACATACTAAATTTAAGACATTAAGGAGCCAGAGAGTAACAGATGCTAGGGCTACTCGATACCTATCATGTATCAATTTAGCCCCAATGGACACGTTAGGCTATGCGTCATCTATTCCCGCAGTCAGCGAGGTATTTTATATTGACTTCAGCTTCAGTAAAACTGCAGTACAAATGAGACCAACAACGGGAAGGGTCTGTGGTTTTCCAAGAAAATCCCAAGTCATCATTTCTAACAAAAACCATAACCAGCAACCTAGGATAGAATCTCATATGGCAACTTCATGTCGTATATTTTTGTAAAATTCGGAAGCAAAGCTGTAACTATTTTTTATTAAACACAGGCACATTATTTTCTGACGTGCTGCTCACGGTGGCCCATGGAACATCTCCTATAACTGAAGTAGACCACCCCTACCTATTTTACTGTAGTTGGGATATAGTCAACCAAGCATGAACCAGATGTGGATGATATCTTGTTTGTTTTTCAATACCGGACTTCTGCTTTTCAAAATCCACATAGTAAAATGCTCAACACAATGACATATATACATATCTGCATATATATATATGCGCTAGATATGCATCTAACACACAGGCATAGTTATATCGCATACATTTTATCACCTTGGATACAGGCCAACCTATTTAGATTGTTATTCCATTTCAGCCTAATGGATAAAACTGAAGACTCAAAATTTAATCTGACACTGCTCATCAGAAGGGTGATCTTATGCGAAAGCAGTCAAAATTCAAGTGATAAATAAAATCCTGTGAACTCTCATACTCAAACAATATAACATATCCTCTGTAACAGCTCATCTAAATAAAGCACGTTAGACAGTTTCTAAGAGCTTAAGAAAACTTCAACTCCAAAAGCTATACCCTAGAATCCAAACGCAGTTTAAATATAGGCCAGAACCCTTCATCTTGACTTCTTAGAGCTACTAGGAAATGTATCTCTGAATATCCAGCCAGAAGTCTACCCTTTAGTATGATCTAATATGTTTAATGTCATTTAAATTATTAACTAGTCATAACTGCAAAGCTACCATTGCTGCACCAGACACAGAATCACAGAATACTTTTTATTCTACAGAAAGAGAGGAAAAGGCAGGGGAGATGGCTGCTCAGAACCTCAAATGGACTTTAGGTCTTGTTTTACTTGTTGATTTGGGCCTGCAAGATACCGCAGGAGCTCAGAAATGAGGTAGGACAGCCACGTCCTTGGCATAAGCAATCTGAGCCATCATTTCCCACTCAAAGCATACATATAAAGTTCTAAAGAGAGTGATAACGAGTGTCCGGTTCAGTTCCTTGGGCTCTTAATATTCAGACAAAGAGCTGTAACTCATTCCGCAAATGCAGTTCAACAGAGTTACACAGAGAATTAGACCATTGCACAAAGTTCACAGAGAAAAGAAGATGGAGAAGCCAGAACTTTAACCCAGAATTGCTGACTGCTTGCAGAAAAGATTCCTTTTCATCCACACAAAGAAAGAGGAAGGAAAAAAGAAAAAAATCACAGCTGAAGAACAAAAGTGTTAAGGGACAAGGGCAAAAAGTTGATTTAGGCATCCGACAGAACAAGGAGGTAAATGAACAGTCACCAAAATTTGATTAATTAACATCTAAACGGAGCAGAGAGCCTGTGTATGCTATTACTTAACAATAAGTTAACAAACCAGAAGGATTTTAAGTAGTCAAACTGGGCAAGGACATACTGGGAATTAGGTTTATAAAACACCTGACATCAGCCCTATCCTTCTGATGTAAATGAAAATAAATCTACCTTTTGTAGGCACTCCAATCCAATTTAAATAGCGTGTCAGCTTCTTTGAGATGTAGGTTTTTCCTCTTGCTGGAAGACCCACCATGACAATCAAGGTAGGGCAATTGGTCATACATACTGAAACAGAAAAACAGAAAACTAGGATTTACTGTTAACATTCCCACAAAGCAAAGGCTTATATTGTGGTGGAAAATTACAATCCATGTGCTGAGGAAGTGACCGTTCAAGCAGCTCATGCACTGTGTCTCCCTATTTCAGGGGGTTTCTTCAGGAGTACGGTGGACCTAACCAGCTTTCTTAATGCTGAGTTGAATTTTGGAAGGGCGAGTCAGTGGCAGTGCAACACTGGACATGTGAGTTTTATACAGGCAGAAGACAAGAAACCTGTGTATTTGCAGACATATTTTAAGATGCACAAAAACAATGCCAAAAAAAAGGACACTGACATCTTACACCCCTATGTACCTCAGTTCAGTGCTTGCATTGAAAGGAAACAGCAAGGTCTACACAATTTTTAGATAATTTTTAAATCTTTGAGACAAGACCTCAATACTGCTCAACCTTTCCTTGGTTTTGAGCAAAGCAAGCATGAAAGATGCAGCTTAATACATTATAGTATTACATGGTACTCACTATTTATTAAATCTCCTTTAAATATTATTAACACGGAAACCTCTCTTGAAACAGAGCTCATTTTGACTGTTCTTTGATGGTTACTAGGAATAAAGCACAAGTATTCTATGCAATCAACTAAAATAATCTGATGTACAGATATAAGTTCAGAAATACTCTTAATCAAAGGCAGAGTGTTTAATTTAAAAAAAAAATACAACCACTGTACGAAGTTGAAGGAGTTACATGTATAAACTGAAAACCTTGAGGCATTTCCTTTCAAATAACAAGCTTTTGAACATTTTAATGGCACGAAACTGTGGATACCTTGCATGAATCTATCACAGCTACAAGCAACTGCCTAAAAAGAAAAAAGATATTAAAGTGCTGCAAAGATACCACCAGCTCCCTTCATCCCGTATTTCAAAGGGAATTAATTTCTATACAAGCCACATGTACATCAATTTCCTCAGTGTCTCGATAGCAGAGGAGTCAATGCGCTCCAAAAGCCTGAATCTCAGAGCTATGCTGTAAGGCATAGCTAAACTGTTGTACAGAGCACTGTGATTGCCCAAGATTCCCAAACCTTGGATTGACAAAGTCCCATCCAAAAAAGTCACTTGCACAAATCTGGCACAGCTACTCCGCATAGTAAACCCATCAAAAAAGAAAAACCAATTAGCAGACAGATGCACTTTCTTAAAACACACATTGATAAGAAAAAAAACAAAACCCAAACGCATTAAAAATACACCACTTTTCACAAGAGCAAGCAGGCAAAACCATACCTAACCTCAAATCCATGAAGGTCTACTACTCCATCTAATGAAAGTTACAGGGAATTGAATGCAAACCAAAGCAGATCCATTGACAGGTGTCCGTGTTTCTGGAAGGACGCCGATAAAAGCCCTCAGAGTAAGCTGCTCTGCACAGAAGCCTATAAACAAGAAGGATAATGTTTTCTTGTCCCTTTTCCTTTTTGTCCTAAGTTCAGGCCTGTGAACCCCAACTCCCAGCGGGGGAAGGCAGGCTCAGGAGAAACAAAGTTTATGAAGTGTAAAGGATACAGTGCTTACTAAGCCTAACAGCTTTGCTTCTAGTTTTAAGGACAGTAAAATACAGTACTGAGATGAGAAAAATCCCTGAGCCCCTAGAAATTTTAAGACAAGACATTGTTCTTCAAAGCCAATTTGAAAGGTTCATCATCTGAAATATCGAGCTTGAGTTTTAAATCATTTCCCAGTATAAGCAGTGAAGTAAGAGTTGTAAAAACAAAGACAAACCAGGATCTGTACAGAAAGGCTCTGTATGCTGCCTCAGGTCCCCTTGCTCTGCAAGGAACCTGTGCTAAGCGAAACAAGTTTTTCTACCCATTCGGAACAGAATTTATCAACTAACATGCCTAGATCACCTCAGTATTTCCCCCCCCCTCCCCCGGGGTGAGCCATATAAATTTAGCCTTCTCACAGAACATCTGTCTTTTGCTAATGTAACAATTAACCTATACCGGAGGTATAAAAAACTCCACCTTGCAAAACTAAGGGCTAGGAAGCTACCATGAAAAAAACGTGCAACCCACTTAAATGGCTGCTTCACAGATTACGCCGACAACCACTCTCTAAGGTAAATCCTACTGCTGTCGGTTTGTAATAGATCAAACAACATGCAAGAGGGGTATTTCCTCCCACTGCCAAAGAACTCAGTGTGCAAGTCTGGCACCAAGCATATTTTTATGCGAATTTCCTCAAAGAAAGTACAAAAGCTAGCAAAACTGCCTTTATTTACGGCCCTGTGCGTACAGTCTAACACGCACGCCTAGCCTGCTAACGCTGATCACTCTGTGCACCACTATTTAGTGTGCGACCATATAGCAGAAAGCAGGGGAATTACCTGCTGATCCCAATCAAACAAGCTGCAATCCCATTGTGATTAGGTGCCAGGCTGACCTGAGAGTGCTTCTCGTCTTTAAAGGCAGTAAAACACACGCCCTGCACACCAGGAGGAGGAACACCACCCATTCCAACGATCTTAAGCACTCTGCTTTTACATAATGCTGTAGCCCTGTACACACCGCTCCACCTTACATGGTGCTACGCCACACACCAGCCATCAGCGCTTGTCTTCAACAAGAGGATGTCTGGTTGCAATCTAGAATTCAGGACACTAAAAAGTGGTTGGCGTTTTTGTTTAGATGGTCAACAGTGGTTGTGGTCTAATACTGCTTACAGAGGTGGCACTTTGTGACAAGTGCACCTATACCTTTGGAGGTAGAAGTCAAAGGCACATTTGCTGGCCAAAACAGCAGGCGGTAACAGCTAAATGACAGAACTGAAAATAAAAGCGTACAAAGCAACAATTTTATTTATACTGTACCCCAGAGTAGCCTTCTCAACAACACATGTAAGACTCGGCACAGCAGACACAGGTTTTTGTTTTCTTCCTTATGATCCTGCGTCAGTAACAAGGCCTATTTTCACTCATTAGCTCAGTAAAAAAGTTGAGACTAAACCAAAAAGCAAAGTGCTGAGGGTGTATCAAATACTCAGAAGTTAAAAATAACTTAATTTTTCTTTACCTTTATCTGAACCACAACTTTCTCAACGAAATGTTGCCAACATTCACTGCAACAGGAGATGAATGTTCATTTCAATGACAGTACTTAAAGTGTCAGTGTCGCAAGACTTACATCTTCCTTTGATGAAAGGTAAGCAATTTTGACATGAGGATGTGGACTGATAAAAAACCCAAACAAACCACAAGTTACACATACCTAACTCCTGAAATAAAAAAGCCTCTTTAGTTGAGTATTCTCCCACTGGCACAATGCTCAATTCCCCCTTTCACAGCACCTCATCATTGTTCATTTTATATGAAAAACAATTTGCAGCACAGAAGTAGTTATATAGGTGCAAGTTGCAGAGCCAAGGCAGACTCCTAGCTGCAGCTTTCTCTCAATTCCCTATCACTGGATGGTCTGGTTTACCTCCAGAAACATCTCTACGCAGTCTAGACTCGAGAAAAACTGATTTTTTAATACTGCTTCACATATGTAACTCCTAAGCATTTCTGACAGCCCCAACTGTGGATGTGCTATCAACACTAATTTTGCTACAGGAAGATACACATTCAGAACAGCGAAACAAAACCTACAGGGTTGTATGCCATCGTTTGCTAAAGATGCTCTATGACTTTACTCAAGTTTTTTCCTTTAAAATAGATGCTTGCAACCTATGCATGTAAGATTGCAGGTTTATAAGCAGCATCAAAAAGAAATTTATGTTGCATCCCCTCGCTTACAGGGAACACACGAAAAACCACCAATCAGTGAAGGAAAATGGCCAAGTGATAAAGCATATTAAAAATTAAGTACTGCAAATTAAACGAAGTCATTAACACAATTAAACATAAACGTATAACATTAAAATTTTGTTATATACTACTGAACAAAACGGCAAGTTGCAGGTCAGAGTAAAATTATGACTCTCTACCCTGCTAAAGTTTAAGGTTTAACAGTCAAGGAAAGAAAAAACTACATGTTCATTTCTCGCCCCTTAAACTCTATTGTGAAATAATGCAAGATGCAGAAGGTGGTTGCGAAACCAAAGCGGGACATTGAACAACCTACATCAGCTGCACAGCATTTCATCAGCCCTCAAAACTCACATCATCTTGTGAAATCAGAGACAAGAGTTGGTGTTTTTAAAGTTTACCTACTACCTAACATATTATCAGCTGTCCCTTCCTTTCATTCAAAATGTGATTTTCTTTTTTTCTTATCTGTGTTAAATTTTTAAGTCAACTTTTCAAGGTCAGATGCTTTTTGTATCAAGCTGCTACAGCCAGCCATCTGAAGTTTACTAACTACTTTCGCTGATTCTGTGGCCTTCGACTCAAGGCTTGTTCTCCAAAATCACTGTACTATTTAGAGGCTCATACACAAAGATCTTTAGGCATAAGCCAACACAACCACCCTTCCAAAGAAGGTTAGCCCTACATGTTTTCCCCTATCCCTTAGCCAATTTAACTACTGCTAATCCCTCTTTTCCCTGATGATCAATGATGACAATTGGTCACCCTTCTTCACATCCCGCAGGCACAAGTTCCCCATCCTGCTGCTCTTCCTGAAGAGCATCCTGCTCCTATACCTGAAGGAGTCCATCATCTTCTCATTTGTCTCTCCTCTTTTTGTCCGAATCACCAGTTTCTAACATCACCTTGGTACAAGGGATTCAGAATTCATATGCGTCCTCTAGCCAGCCTTGTGCCACCAGCTGCTCTGCCATCCAGTTGCTCAGGGTTAACATTTACTTCCTACAGCTTTGATGCCAACAGCAGTGGCCCCATCATACATCCTGATCTTCAGTTCCTAGGGCTGTGAGTACAAATACACATAAGCAGCACGAGCTCAAAGGATAGAGTTCTTTAGAGCAAAGATAATCTTCACTTGATGCTTTTTTGGTTTTGACCTGAGGTACATTCATACCGCTGTATGAACAGCAAA